GGGCAGTCGAGAAAGAGCATTTGCAGCTTTGTTTTCTTGGCCCTTTTTATATTGTATCTCAAGGTCATATCCCATTAGTTTAGCCATAATATCCTGCTGGGCAGGAGTAGAAATTTTATGCTCCAAAAGATATTTAATACTCTTTTGATCTATTTTAATAATGAAATGTCGATTGAGCAAATAAGTGCTCCATTTCTGAATTGCAAACAAGACAGCCATAAGCTCTCTTTCATACACAGATTTCCTTTGATGCAGAGGACTTAGTGTGCGACTAATGTAAGCAATAGGGTGGTGATCTTGCATCAGAACAACACCAATTCCCACCCCTGATGCATCCGTCTCAATGACAAAAGGTTTATTGAAGTCTGGGAGGGCTAATACAGGAGCAGAACATAAGGCCTCTTTCAGTTTATCAAAGGCCTGTTGTGCTTCAGCAGTCCATACAAACTGATCTCTTTTTAATAAATCAGTGAGGGGCTTAGCTATAAGACCATAATGCTGCACAAAACGCCCGTAGTATCCTGATAAAGCCAAGAACCCTCTTAACTGTTTAAGTGTTGTGGAAGATGGCCAATTACGCACAACAGCTACTTTGCTAGGATCTGTAGAAACACCTTTGGCAGAAATGAAGTGACCGAGATACTCCACTTGTGAAGCAGCAAAGGAACACTTGCTTTTCTTGATATAAAGAGAATTAGTGTGAAATCTCTGGAAGACTAACTCCAAGTGCTGAAGGTGAGCTTGCAAACTTTGGCTATAGACAATGATATCATCAAAGAAAACTAATACAAACTTCTTGAGATAAGGCTTGAAAATGTGATTCATCAAATTTTGAAATGAAGAGGGAGCATTAGTGAGCCCAAATGGCATCACTAAGAATTCATAATGGCCATCATGAGTCTTAAAAGCCATCTTATATACATCGTTCTTGTGCATACGCAATTGGTGGTAACCAGATATGAGGTCCAACTTCGTAAAGATACTTGCACCTCCCAACTCATCCAACAAATCATCCAAAAGAGGAATTGGAAATTTATCTTTAACAGTTTTTCTATTAAGCTCCTTGTAATCTATACAAAGCCTCTACGTACCATCTTTCTTCCCTACCAATACAACCGGCGATGCATATGGACTGACACTTGCCTGTATAATTCCCTTATCAAGCATTTCATTCACTAGTTTTTCTATAATAGTTTTCTGCAATGAAGGGTATCTATATGGCCTTTTATTGACAGGTAAAGCCCTAGGTTTCATAGGTATTCGATGATCAAACCCTTCCCTATAAGGAGATAATTCCACAAGTTCATCAAACAAAGAAGCATACTTGTTCAACAGTTGCTCGACTGCCTCAGGTAATGCAGAATGTTTAGTAGAAATAGAAAACAAAGAAGAGGTTACCATATCAGAATTGTCTCCTGCTGGACATAATTGGAGCAATGCTAATTGGCCTCCTTGTAACAATGACTTAGACAATTGTTTACCATCAGCATGCTTCAGTTTGTTGGCAGTTGCACCTCTAAGCACATGTTTCTTGCCCTCTACTTTAAATTCCATATTCAGTTGTTGAAAATCCTAGACTATAGGCCCCAATGTGGATAGCCATTGAATTCCCAATACCACATCACAAGATCCTAGAAGCAATACCATACAATCTGTGGTGAAGGTAGTACTCTGAATCTGCCATGAGAATTTCTTGCAAATGATTGTAACAAAGACCTTATTTCCATCAGCTACAGATACTGCCATAGGTATGATTGCTTCCACCTTACATCCTAGTTGCTTCACAACTTGTTCATCTACAAAGTTGAGTACTCCCACTGTCAATCAAAATCTGCAAGGGTCTTTTATTATAATAACCAGTAATCCTCATAGTTTGAAAGTGAGAATTCCCAGTTATGGCGTTGATAGAAATACAAGGGCCAATTGTCTCATCTCCACTGCATTCCTCAACATTATTGTCTTCTTCCTCTTTTTCATTCAACTCAACCACATAAAGATGTGCTTTCTTGTGTTTTAATTGATGGTTGGGAGTAAATGGCTCATCACAGAACATACACAATCCTCTAGCCCTTCTCTCTGCCATCTCAGTTGCTATATAGACCTTGGGTGGTTTATCAAGAACAGGCATGTTCTGACTCTTGCTAGGTAATGGCACTGATGAGTTCACAAGATTCTGTTTGGATGGCAAAGCCATTGAAAGAGTATCTGGGCGCATCTGTGACTTCCCATAAGTAGAGGGCTTTGAAAAGCCATTTTTGTTGTGGGAGTATTTTGAATGTTTATAATTCTGCGTAGATTCGAAAAGCTTCGCAAGATTCGCTGCGTGTTGCACTGTTGTGGGGTGGAACATCCTTACATGCATTTGAGTCTCATACTCCAATCCCATAACAAAACAACTCACCTTATACTCCTCAATTAAATTTACTTTGGTCAAGATGTTTTCGAACTGATCCATATGACAGAACCTGTCTGCTTGAGAAACATCAACTCCGACATAGGATCGTCGAACGCAGGTCCAAAACGATCTGCAATAGCCTTAGCATAGTCTTCCCAATTCATTGGCTCTGTTGTCAGCCTTGATTTTATCAAAGTGTGATGCCACTGGAGAGCTTTTCCCTCTAAATGGATCGCAGCCAGTTTAACTTTAATGGATCGCAGCCAGTTGCACCTTTCATGTGGAAGACTATCAATCTTTGTGGTTAACAACTTAGCATCAGCTATCAAGAAATTGAGAAATTAGCAATCAGAGAACCAACGAAGGGGGTATTCATCGTGTGTGCAAGGGAGAGAATCAGATAAACGGAAACAAAGGGATTCCATCGTTCAATACTTTGTTAGTGGAGTAGAGAGGTGAAACGATCGATACAATATATACTTCTTCCCAGTTCCCAAACAGCGGCAGGTGAAGACTGAAAAGTAAGCCGGTACAAACATTACTGTTAAAAACCCACTTGATAACTACTCAATCTTTGACTCCTGGATCATTTAACAACCTTTGTGAAACCTTTCGGAAACGCACAACAGAAGTGGTTCTTCACTTCCTGACAGTTGAAAATCAATTGCGAAAGCGTAGTTTTAAACTTTTACCAATACCACCGCCTCGATAATCGATCTCGCCTGCTCAGTGTAATTGGCCCTTTTGATTCATTCAAACTCTTTTTTTGTGACGACAGCCAATCTCCTTTTCCGTTCCGCTTCGCCTCGACTCCAATTATATATATATATATTAAATATTATTTATATATTTAAAATATTATTTATATTTAAAATTTTTATTTATTTTAAGTAAATTTATTTTTTTAAATATTATTTATTTAAAAAAAATCAGAAATTCAAGTTTTTATGAGAAACCCATCCCCGTTGAGGAACAGGGATGGAGGATAAATTTTATCCCCAACGGGGTCAAGAATAGGGAAGAATTAATTTCAAGATTGGGGTCGAGGATGGAGAATATGACCCCCGCTCCATTGCCATTCCTATTTATCAATAAGTTCTATTAGTTAACCCCGAAGTCTAAGACTATGTAGTATGCAATATAGGGCGGGTACCTCAATTTTGGAATAAATTCTCATCGGGGATAAAAGTTGTCATTCATCCCAAATTCCAACAGGAACAAGTTCTTTGCGGGGATTTGAATCTCTGAAATTTTTTAGTTAATAGTATTTTTAGAAAAAGTAATTTTATTTAAAATAAATAAAAATTTTAAAATATAAAATATTATTTTAAATGTATTTTGATATATATGTATAATATAATATGGATAATATTTAATATATATAATTAGGATCAAAGCGGGGCGGGGAATTCATTCCTCATCCTTAACCTTGACCCTGGTCAAGGATCTCTATTAATCTCATCCCGCCAAAGCAATCTCCATCCTTGACCCGATGGTATTAGGGAAGTTGGGTACTATTGAGGATGGGAGAAATAGCCATTTCTATGTGAATTCGATATCTCAAATGAGAAAAAAAAGGTATATTGCTGAAACATCCTCTAAGTTTTGGTAATCTTAATGCCTTTCCTGAACATTTTAATATAGTTGTAATTTCAAGTAGTTCCTTTTTGTTAAAATCTTCTGATAATAGATATGAAAATGTTTAAAATATCCATGCAATTTCTAGTAAAGCCAGTTTTTACAATTTTACCTAAAAAAATTTTAAATTGCAATTTTACCTTTTGAGGAGAGATTGATACAAAGACAAATTTGAAAAAGAATCAAACATCAGTATTTTAAAAAACAAACATTTTGATCAAAAGTATCTACATGAGTATTTTGTAGATTTTGATGAACCCCACTTTGAAAGATGCAGGTCTCATGTATTTTATTAGGTGGAACCTTATAATTGGTTCCACAACCTGCAACTTCCAACTGTAGGGGAGGTGATTGTAATTTAACAAAAAAGCCTTTTTACCCAATACCGACCATTGATGTGTTCATTTTTTATTGGCTACTCAACCCATTGTACACTTCTTACGTCGATAACGGAGAGTTCACGTTGCTGAGCGGGTGTAGCGACGATTAGGAGAACGATCCGTAGTTCAAGTTGGGTATTTTTCCGCATTCAGAGCCTGTTAATAAACACCACGTGCACTGGCGAGTGGAAATTGACTGTTCACCCAGCGTTTGAAAATTAAAAAAAAAAAAAAGCGACTAAGGATGTCAACGGGCCCTCCCCGGGACCCAACGTGATCTAAATTCCAAACCCACATTAAGCCTCTAACAAATGCAATGCATAGTGTAATTGTGCGAAGACAAAGTCAGTCCCACGCGGCGGATAACCCACTCGTCTTATGTCCATCTCTATTCTCAACGGCAAATGGTCCCACCTCGATCACACGGTCGCTACTCCGTTGCTCCCGTTCCTCGTAAATCACGTTGTCCACGTGGCTTCCTATTCGTAGTTGCAAAGACAAATTCGCTTTCATTTCGACGTAATTTCACTTGCATTTCATCTACTTCGTCGCTAGAGATAGCGGTCTTCTCTCCTCCGAGATATTATAAATGCCGAGTCCCCTCTTTGCTTCCGAAATCATTTTGCTCGGAGTCGTCGGAGAGCGTCTGCTTGCGGGGAGAGATCTTTTGTTTTCTTTTTTATTTTTCAGCATTCCGGCTTCACGAGGTCTGTGAGAGCTGATAGTGAGGACATCTGGACATGTAAGTTCTGTTTCTTTTGTCTTTTTTTTTTTTTTTTTTCTTTCATAGTTCATAATATGAATTATTAATTTAATCCTTTTAATCGGCGTAGAGTTGTAAATCTGTTTTGTGAGTTTTATTTTCCAAGCTGTATGTTTTCTAGCTGATATGGTGGTTTTGAACGCCTCATTTCATCTGGTAAAACCATTTTATTTTGGATATTTGCTTTAGATAAAACCTCATCTTGTTGTTGAATCGGGAATTTCTTCAGATCTTATGATAGTTTATTACCTTTGGCATGTGGGGTTGTTCACTAGGAAAAACTAAGATACGGGTTTAGCTAGGGATTTTATTTCTTAACATATACCAGAAATTTTTTTATTACATTCCCAGTGTACAGTGCCTTGGTGTACATGGGTTCTGACCTTTTGTAATCATTTTTTCCATATACTAATGAATACCATATTTTACCTGCTTCAAAAAAATGAAGGATAGAAGAGATTCTTTTGTAGCGTTTTTGTAAAACATTTGGTTCCTGTTCGGATTGGGGAAGGAATTAAGGGGGCCAAGTCCGCAAGTTTCTGGATACCGCTATTTGATCACTTACTTGGTGGAGTAAAATTGGAAATTAGCGGACTTTAGGCCTTCAATTATGTGATTTTGGAAGAATTAAAATTCTTATGGGGGCTAGTCTTTACCCAGAGGAGTGGAAGGCGTAGGATTCAATTCCAATTCCACTCCAGCCAGGCAGCCATCTAAAGGCAGCCTTGTAGTAATTTCTTTGGGAAAATATGAAATTCATTTTTCGATCTAGGGAAAGGTTTATTTCCATGAAATTTGACTCATTTATTGCCCTTGTGTTGAGACTTGCAGAACAAAGGGGTCAAGACCTTGGTGTGTGGAACTGAAAAAACCAGAGAGATTGAAGTCTGGTGGTGGATTAGCACTATCAAGTAGTGATGGAGGTACATGGCAAATCTATGGTTGCAGGGCCTACTACAAATGTTATTTTTTTGTCGAGTATACTCGGCAGAGAAGGGGCAATCCCTGGTCACAAATGTGATTGGAGATGTCAAAATGAACATGTGTGCGGAAACATGTACCGCTGCAAACTAACAGGAATTACTCACATTTGTGACAAAAACTGTAACCAGAGAATCTTGTACGATAACCATAGCTCCCTTTGCAGAGTTAGTGGCCAGATTTTCCCTCTTACACCAGCGGAGGCACAGGCAGTGAGAGGAGTCCGGAGGAAGCTTGATGCGGAGGAGATGATGAACTCCTCAGCTGATAATAATAATAGTAACAATAACATCTGTGCTTTTAAGCGCAGGCGTGATGCTCAGCTTCACCCCTCTCCTTTTGAGAGGTCATTCTATGCAGCTGCTCCAATCTGCAGTCAAATTGGGGAGGGCATGGATATGAGTTAGATAGTTGTAGAATTCCTCCTGTTTTGCTTTTCTTTTGTTCTCAGGATACTATGGGGAACAATGGTTATTAATATGGAGTCTTAAAGAACGGCTTATATGTTTAGCATGTTTTATGTGGAATGTAGCTAATCCTGTAACTTGACTTCTGCTTAGAGATTTGAACCTCCTCTAATAACCAGCTCAAATGGGAATGCGAATGCCCTTATTAATTAGATTTTAACTCCATTTATTGTACTTTTGATTATCTTCTTTTTAGCTGTTATTTCTGTAGTCTTTTAAGGGCCTTTGCAGGATCTAATTCTGCTTTTGGTTAGAGTATTGTCTTCTTAGTGATGCATGGATTCTTATCTTTATTACTTCTAATGGCCTTCAGAGCATCTAATTCTTATCTTGGTTAACTTAGTATCTTCTGTGGTTATACATGATTCTTATGTTTATAGCTTTCAATGGCCTTCACAGGATCTAATTCATCAACCTCTCTTTCTCTCTCTGTATGTGTCTGTGTGTGCGTGTGTTGTGTGTGTGGTATGCCCATTTGTCCTATACTGTGTATTTTCTATGCCTCACATGGTTTTGTGAAAGCAATAACCAGATGGATCAATGTTCTTTGTTCATTGATGAAGTGCAGGTCTTTTCCAGTACAAATGAAAGGTCTATCATGGGTCATGACCAGTTAAAGCTTTTCTTGAATTTCTTACCTCATTTTACTTACCTTAGTTAGCTGCAGGTTCACTAGAGATTGTTTTTTTAATCTTTTTTTTTTTATCCCATCTTTGTTCTAGTTTCTTCACCTCTTACACTTTCCTTCAATCCTTTTCCTTAGCCTACTTTCCTCAGGTTCTACTGAAGCATGTGTTCCTGAAATTCATGTTAATTTTGCAGGATTTGAGGCGTGTGCTGTCCAGGAGAGCTGAAAATTTCTTATTGAAATTATGAAGGACTTGTTTTATTGTTTGTGCTTTCTTTAATAAGGAAATGGTTCTCATAGTTCCAAATTTATCTTCCCTGCAGGGACAAGGTGGCTCTAACTGTATGCAGTGGAGATCCCTGAAGTGTGATAAAGCAATTGGAGTTGCAGGAACTCTTTCCTCTACAATGCTGATGGAAAATGCAAAATGCCTTAGCTAGTTGCTACACCTACAATTTTTAAATTTTTAGTGTGTCAAAAATGGAGAACCATTTCATCGGACAAGTGCATAATAAGTGCTGTTTAAAGTTGTCTTGATGACAAAAGGCTCCATCCCATGAGATTGTTGCTCATGTTTGTGTTATGGAAATATGAAGTATGAAGAAATCCTAAATTTGTCCTATCATATTTTCCTGATTTCTATGTGAACCTATATTTTTTCATGTATGAAGCTGGGTATCCTAAATATTAATATGTGGTTTTGTGATATTCTTCCAGTTCATCAAACACAGCCTCCAAATGCCTTTGAGCTTCCAGAGCCTCGCAGGACCCCTATGAATTCAGCTACTAAAAATCAACATTGATGGGGCTTTCTCTCCAAACAGGGCTGGGGTTGGTTTAGTTAATTGAAATCACAAGGAGGGACTTCATCTACAGTAGAGCAATCAGATTACTGGCCACTTTTGCTGAAGAGACTGAAGCCTTTGCACTCTTGTATGCCCTATTATTTGCTCGTGACCTTGGACTTTCCAGGATTGAAATTGAAAGCGACTGCCTCTCTTATTAAATTTCTGTTGGCGAATTCCACACCTCCATGGAGTATTGCTTCAATAGTTGCTAATTGCAGGAGTTCAGTTCCTTTGCTATTTGCTGCACCATCCATCATACCAAGAGAAGTGCCAAGAAAGGTGGCACATATCATTGCAAGGTTTGCTTTGTACTGAACCAGATTTTGTTCGTAATCTTATTGTAAACAACAAGTCTTTGATTTAATGGATGCTTTGTTTTCAAAAAAAAAATAATAATAATAAAACTACAAATACACCATCTGTTCAATGGAGTTTTGTTAGTGTTGTATAAATGGCCTTTCTGTATGGACTTCGTATTGTGTATGTTCTTTGGTTTTTATGGATTTCCATGTAGCTACTCCATGCATGTACAGGGTAGAACCGTAGAAGTAGAACATGTGCAGTTGATGATAGCTGAAACTCGGAAGGCATGTGCTTAGATGGCCATGCTTTTATATTTCTTGTCCTACTTAACCTGTATTTTATTCTGTTTGTCATAAATTGCATTGCCATTCGCCCACAGGTTGAATGTAAACGAGAGAGAGAATAAAGTGAGGAGTGCTATGAAGGAGCTGATAAAAATATTGACTGTGAGTCATCCTTGTCTCTTACTTGGGAAGTGAGATGTATTTAATGAGTGTCTGCCTAGTGATTGGTCTTGTATGACTTTTATTCTTGAGCTCCTGTGGTTTGGACAAAAGTCATCCATGATCCACCATCGGAAAATTTCAGTCAAGTACCCCGTTCCAATTGGGATAGTTTCCTTTTGATGGTAGATATCAAATGACAACTATTCCCTGTAACTTTTTTCTTTTCTAATTTATGCAGTGTTTATTTTGTCCTCGTACATAAAAACAGGTTTAACAACAAAGTGTGTAAAATGAGTTCTTTCGCCTACAGGTTCAGCTGCTTATTCTAATTTTTGTGAAGAGTTAGTTAATACATTTTGTTCTTCATATATTGTCTTGTGTTGCGCTCTTTTCTCTTCTGATCTTATGCTAATAAAACTATGATCATATGTTTACCATTAAGTGCAATGGAATATTAATCCATTTCCATACCTGAGGGCCAGACTCTCTGGACTTGACCATAATGTTTACCATGAAGCAAACTTTTTCCTACGGTCATGCTCACAATTAATTATAGTTTCCTGCATCCTTGGGAGTATAAAACGTTTAAAGTATCCTCTTGGTTTTGGGGGACATAAAATGTATGTGCGAGTCCCGGACAATTTGGACATAGATAGGGTCATAGGGATATACATGTGCTTTGAAAACGTATGGATATAGATAAAAAAGTATGAAAATGCTTGGATATAGGGGTGTAAGTCGGTGGGTTGGACCGGCTTTATGGTCAACCTAAGCCCAACCCTAAAATTTGGGTTTAAGGCTTGAGTCTAGACCTAGTCTGAGGTAAAGTCTGACCTTCCCAATCTGAGCACAGCTTGCATTGTAATTTAATTCACTCAGGTTGGGCTCAGGCTCGGGTTGGTCAATGAATCTACTCTAAAATCATACATATATATGTATTTATGCAATTTATGTATAGTTGTAACACACACACACAAACATATATATATATAGTTGGGCCAGGTTCGGGCTACTTAAGGACTAAGCTCGGGCTTGGCCTGGAAAAAAAAAAAAAAAAAGCCCAACTTCTTGGTTCTGAGCCTAACCCAATGATCAAAAATCCAAGTCCAACCCATGTAAAATTTCAGGTTGGGCCCACTCAAATTGCACCCCTACTTCGATATACTAAAGAAATACATACAAATATCATAAACTATATTAATAATACTAAATTTAATGTCAAAATAGTTACAAATAATGTATAAATACATAGGAAATATATATTTTAATGATATATTTATATGAAGAAATAAATTATAATTAAAATAGTGGGATACATAGATGACATACGGCTCTATTGATAAATGTATGGTTCAAGAGTGCAATACATATTATATAAATTCTTAAAAATTAATACATCCACAAAACTATTATTTTGCTATTTTCTATTTAAGTCCAAATATATACAATTATTATATTTTAATTATTGTATCAATTATTTTTTGATTTACTGTTTTTACTTTTAACATTAACAAAAAATGACCAAATATTAAATTCTTAAATGTTTGGTGAACAATATATATATATATATATATATATATATATATATATATGTTGTTATTTAATGTAAATTAAAAAATAATTAATAATTTATAAAAATTTTAAGTTAGTTATCGTGTGCAAATTTATAAATTTTAAGTATTAAAATAATTATTTTATTATTAATATCTTTTGTATAAATTTATTGAGATTAAAAATAGATTTTTATATAAATGTGAATTTGATAGACTATTTATTCCATTAATTTACAAAATATCATATTTGAATGTTATTCCTTTATGATTTTTAATTAGAGTTGTTTAATATAAAATTATGTATTTTTCTTTTTTTAGTAAAGGTAAAGTATGAATTTCACTCACGTACAACTAGAGGTCATAACTGGGAAAACATATAAGAAACTAAGCCATTATCCCTTCAGCATTAACAAAAAGATTTACATAATAAAAAATAAGAACTACAATTTGAATTATTTAAGTTGAGTTGAGCTAAAGGCCAAGAAAATAATTTGCCCATAACCTTTTGCCACACATCCTCCATCTAGCTCTGCTTTTGTTTTTGCTCAAACCTTGAATGTACCACCCCTTATAGAAACTCTCCACCCACTCCGGACAGTAGCCCTTAAGGGCAAACAAGCTATGAACCTTTTCTTTAGTCTGAATCTTCTTAAGGTAGACCGACCAAATTAAATGAAGAAAGCAATTTTCAAAATAACTCACCGAAGAACTGCTTATTCGTCCCACCCATCCACACTAGTATAGTCAATATGGGTATTATAGAGCTTTTGCAACAGCCGAGTATAACAATTAATCTCCCAATCATTTAAAGCTCTTCCAAGGAGGGGATTCCAAATACAATTTCCATTGAAGATCTGCTTATCTGCATATATTCAACCACTTTTGCTTTCTTATCCACTGCTAATGCAAAGGAAGTTATCTTTCACAATGCTACCTTTGACACTAGCAATCCTTTCAAAACCTGACTTTAGATTGCATGTGAACACAAAATTAATAAAAATCATTATATTTCATTTATTATTTATAAGAATTAAAGTGGTCTAATGGTTTGGTTGAATGTCGTATTTAAACTTGGGCATGAAATTGACTTGGGTTTGAATCATAATAGGATTTTTTTTTTTAATAAAGAGACGTGGCATGAGACACATGATATCAATGTGTATCGGCCTGTATCACGTATCAGACCATTATAATGTGATACATGCCCACATCGGCTTGATACGCTACGCATGATCAAGGAATACATCCTTGTTCGTAGCATATCACGTATCTTCAAGCAATGATGCCGGATACGGTAGCCTTATATCGGATTTATCACATCAATATTTCCATCCTTTCTTGTCATAGGAATCTCATGCTCAAGATTTGCGTCAATTACTCAAGGGAGTCATTGTGATATCCAGAAGGCATAATACCTATAAACCTAACGGCCAACCAACCGTTGGGGTGTTGTGCTTTAAAAAAGTTGCAATTTTTTTTGAAGGTTTAAATCATATTTCGTTTATTTAAGAGATTCATACAAAGAGATGCCAATACGATCAATTAAAGTTCAGAGATAATTTCTCAAGAAGAACAAAATAAAGAGATAGATGAAGGAGAATCGGAAGAACTTATACAATCAAAGCAATGTAAATTAAACTTACCAATAGAAGTGGATAAGTACATCTCCAAACCACTATAATCGGCGAGCGTAACTTACATGAGAGGTTTCCAACAAATACAATAATTGACAGTGGAGGTTACAAAGCCAAAAGCTATGATCTGTAACTTCCAACCAATCAGTAAAAGACGGCATGACCATAAATTGTAACTGCCATCCAGCACACTAGAGAACTATCAACTACGAATTGCACCTTGGATGCACCTCAATGCACCTTGGAATTGATGCCAATTCACGGACGGGTATGGGTGTTATAGGTGGAACTATTTATAAATTTGAATTATGAGGTGGAGTGCAATCTAAAAATCCCTTGAATTTAACTTGTTTACATATATAGATATCTGGTTATGATTGAAATATCATAGAACCTTTATAAATTAGCATAAATTTATACAATTAAATATAAAACCATATAATATAGATGAAAATATTAAATTTACATAGACCTTAAATCCAAATTAATTTTAATTTTATACTAAAATAATAATTTATATATGTGTGAATGTATATAAATTGTTGTGCTTGACCAATACACTAAAATCCTAATAGAACGCATCTAACCAAGCAATCTATATATATTACCCATTACGCCAACATTAATTACTTATTAGAAAGACATGTTTTTTTATACTTAAAGTCATTTGCTTATAACAAATGCTATAAATTTGATTATTAATATTTATATAATAATAAGAAGAATATAAGTTATATTGATTTATTAAAAATTAAGGTGTATATTAACTTATATACATCATAAATATTATCTAATTCTATATATAATAAATATTAACTAATAAATGATTTCAAAAAAAATATTAACTAATAAATATTAGTATATATATAAACATTTTAGTTCTTCTATTATTTTTCAATGGTTATTAATCATATCCCGATACTTTATATAAATCATTAAAGAATGGTTTTTATGTTTAAATAAATTAGTTATACTCACATAAAATTCATTTTTATTATTGTTCATATTTTTAAGGATTTTTTGGATTTTCTAGTGTATATATGTGTATCTTGATTTTTCGTCTATATCTATAGGTTTCCAAAGCGTATCTCGATACGTCTCTTAAAATTACCTTTCCGATACACCTTACGTTTCCGATACTTTGAACCTTGGTTGTATACTTAACCAATACGCCAAAAACCTTAAGACCAATGGAACACGTCAAATCAATTTAGTCAAGCACTTTAACATTTTAGAACCCTAACATATAGATACACAATCATATTGTTTCAAACCAAGCAATTACCAAATTTCTATCCAATTAAAAAATGAATCATGTTTTCATATCTGATTTGATAATATTATGACTAAATAGATACCTAAATCTTAAATAAATGAATCTATTCGAATTCAAATTGGACTATAAAGTCCAGTCCATTTACACTCCTAGCAATATTGTCAACCTATGTTGAATTAGCAATATGTCACAACATTGGTTGATGACCACAAAAAGTAGATGAAGATCTAGATTTCTAATAAGTGTTTGATAT